CTAACCAAACCCTCTTTGTACTTTCCTGTACAGGTATTTATATATGTACTATAAAAAAGACATCCTTTAGCTTCAAAACATCACAATATTCTTTCAGAAAAAGAAAAGAAAGATGACCCACACACTCACAGTCGCAGGCAATCTCACATGTAGACACAAACAGAAAAGTGGTCTCCAGACCCATATTTGAGATCAAATAAATACGTGGCTCATGTTGTGAGGGAAAGGAAAAAAGAGGGCAAACATAGAGAGTATTAAAAGCACAATCAAAACAAGGTGGAGGAGGGAAATGAAGGGACAGAGGGAGCAAAGAGAGGACAGAAAACCTGACCGAACAGGAGAAGGCCTTCATCGAGCAGCTCTATCCTTAAATCCATCACATGGAAGACAAACACAGATAATCATAGTGACATTTTTAACAACTCTACAACTAGACGATGCAACTAAATTATGCAAACCTCAACAATAATGATAGGACAACAACATGGTGACAAAATGAAAAATATTGTCCGCTTCCTTCACTTACAAATATTAAAACAAATACACCATGGCTTATTTTAGTTTGATTGAAATTAGCATTGGAAGTATCGCTCTAAAAAAAACAGACAAAACTGAGAAGATGTCTGAATAACATTCAAATCTTTAGGCAGAGGAGCACAACTTCTGGGATGTGAGGTTTCTCTGTTTCAGTTGTTCTCACTAAAATCACAACGATTTTATTTTCCTTTTTAAATTAGTTTTCTGTCTTTTATCAAATTCTTGATAACGCCCTAATAATTCATCCAACATGTCGGCACACTGCTTTAATGACGGACCTTCATTATTACCTTCTGAGTCTACTAATGTCTGGCTGAGGTTTAAATTAACATTTTCTTCCCTTTTTTTATCATTCACTAATTTCCAGGCCAGATCCCGTCAGACAGGAGAAACACATATTTCCTGTTAATCAGATATCTTGGATTTACTATAACAGCACTTGATTCTAGCTAGGTTTTCTGTCTAGTTAAGAATCTAAATGTACTTTCAATTTATTTGTATTATGTTATCAACCTAAATGATGAACACTTGACACTTCACTGTATGTATGGCAAGAAAAGACAAATAATGTAGGAGCTGTGGGATAAGACTGTATGAGAAATTGATGTCTCAAATAAGGGGGTTTGGCAAAGTTAACATAATTATAAATGAATTAAGACTGTTGAACCACACACACACACTGCAGGGCTGAGGAAGCAGTGAGTTCACCACAAATTAATACATACTTTTCTCCTACTTGCACACTGGTTATTTAAGACATAGCTGTATAGTCCTGCACTGCAAAAAAAGTCCTTCTTAGTTTATATCAAAATATGTATTACAAAATATGAAAATTCATATTTAATCTTTACCTCTTAGGAAGTGTAAAAGGGCATGCGAATATTGTGAACTATGGTGTACTTTTAAATAAAGCTGCACTTAAAAAATGAAAAGAAATGAAGGGCAGATTTTAAATAAAGTGAACCTAAGTGGAAGATGTTTTAAAAAGTTTGATTTTAAGACTCATTGAAGATTTAGATTAGATTTTTTGCAGCGCAGCATTTAAGACACACCATTGGATAATGTTCTCACTCAAGCCGTCAATCACACGAGATACAGTAAGTGGGGTAACAAAACAAAACACAATCTGATTGGCTGTTCTGAAGAATACAAAAAACACAGCAAACCAAAAGAAAGAAAACACATGTGTATTTATGCATTAAGACAAACATTTGAGAAGGCAACTATCACAATAAACAAAGGGAAAATGGCAGCAGTCTTTAAGACATGTTCCCCCTCTCAAGGTGCCGGGGAGATGTCTGACTTTAAAACAGCGCTGATGGATGACTCTGGCAGAGTTGTTGGGTAAAATCCTCAACAGTGAAGATGCAGTCGGCACCCTGTTATCACAAACGTTTGCACTTTCTTATGGCCTCTTCACAGTCCAATCTATTCTGACTAAGATCTCTAGCAAATCTAATATCTCTATGACACCTCGCATGGTGGGCGCTTCTATTTAGTTGGTTAAGTGGCTGAATTGTATTTCTCTCTGTTGGCTGAAAAACTGATTTTCTCTTTCTAGAAAAGGCAGTAGTGCAAGCGAGCTCAAAGCAAACATGGGGGTTTCTTGAAAAGCTAAACTTGCAGCATCAGTCGTCTCAATCCTTCAGGTGAAATGCTGAGGAAGGACTCGCTGTCTGTGTTTGTGCTGAAAGAGTGAGTGTGGATTTGGCATAAAAAAAGAAGAAAGTGTGTGTCTGGTTTGGCTTGTCTGTGTCGGCTGGATTTGATCCTGAATCCTTCAGTCTCTTCATCATCATCACCATCAAGTCAGGTTTTCTTCACATTATATTCCTTCATCAATGACCAAACTTCATAAATAGAAAATCCCTCATGTGAGAAACAGCTAGAAGAGGATTATCACACATTAACTGTTGCACGAAAAGAAAACAAATCACTCAAGAGAAGAAGTGATTCTCTCCAAAATAAATACACTTCCTGTGTCCGTGGAGAGTCATAATGTAGGCGTGGCCGTTCTCCTATAAAAGCATCAAGGTGTACAAAGTCTAAACAACTTATTTTCTTTGCAAAAGTCTTTGTTTGTTTTGTTCTTCATCTGTTTTTTCTTGCAGTTGTTTTTGTGTTAGAAAGGGCCTGAGTTGGGTTTGTTCCTTCTGATCGGGACAGCTGCTTCCATCCCCGACCGGAGTCTGACTCGCACAGAAATCCTCCGCCAGGATCAGTGTGCTTGGTTCATCTCGCATGGTTACAAACACACACGCATACACGCATACACACAAACACACACACAGTCATGCACTCACACCTTTACATGGGTGGGACGATCATTCCGGGATTGCTGTTGGGTGGAAAAAGAAACAGAGAGAGAGAAGGGGGGGGGAGAAGAGAAAACAACTTTAAAAACACAGCCAAATATTTCTCATCATAAAACATTCCCTTGTAAATACATCAATATGTTTTCCCAGCTGTGCAGCTGTGTGACTGCAGCGACATTTTAAACATCAATAGAAGAATAAATCAGTAAAATTGAGCGGGACACATCACATAAGTTGGAACAGTTGGTGTATTTTACTGTATGTTTGTGTGTGTGCACGACAGATTGCATCATGGCGAGCGTTGTATTAAAACCCAAGGGATGGGTGTCAACATGTGAGAGCCAGAGCCCAGCCCAAAGTCACACACACACACACACGAGTAAAAAACTTCATAGAATTAATATATTTTAATAATGAATCGGACAAAAATCTACAATCTTTTTTCCCCTTTTTGTTTTTGTCTCAGGTGCTCACACACACATCCACACACACCATAGGAGACAGGTATACTGCCAGCATAAACTGTCAAGAGAGTGGAACAGCTGTCATTGTAGATCGCTCCCCAGTAAGCTGCCAGTGTGTGATCACCGAGTGTGTGTGACAGAGGAAAGTGTGTGTATATAGCTGTAAGTGGGGAGTGTTTATTTCAGTTGTGCTTTGAGGCTGAGCATTGAGTTCCCACACCCCCGCACAGGCTCATTCTCACACACACACACACAAACACACACACACACATGAGCAAACGCAAATGCACACACAGCTAAACAATGGCTGCGATTTGGAGATATACATTTCTTGTGCCAAATGTCTTCTCTTTTGTCTCTGTAAATATCTAACTTCCTGAGTTTTTCCTCAGCCAATAGGAAGACAAGGTTGAGTTACTAGGCAACAGATCTGTACTGTGTGATGAGATGTATGAGATGGCAAAGTGAAGGGGGAAAGAGGATGAAGACGAGATGATGACACAAAAGGAAGATGGAGGGAGACAAACAAGATCGACAAGAAAGTATGACATGGAAGAAAAGGTTGGGGTGAGAAATCAGGAGAGTTAGTCATTGACAGATAAGAGATGTGCAACAGGCGAATATTCATTACTTTATTGAAATATGTAAGTTTACAAAAAGTTGCGAATGCAATTATTCAACATGAGCTGAAGGAAGAGAGGGACATACTTCAGGTGAAGGCCAGGCCTTGTAGAGAGTTGGCTGTTGAGTACTTGCTAGAGTCCACAAATGTTTGATCTGTTAGAGGGAGGAGAGAGAGGAAGATAGGGGGCAGAGAAATAACAGAGGAAGGGCAGATCAGAGGAATCAAAAAGGAGGGACAAAGGGAGAGACAGGACAAAATATGAATTCAAAAGTTTAAGCAGTTCAGAAAGCAGACGTGATATATTTGTCCTTGCAAGAAACACATATGTCTAAATTGTAATCAGAGATTTAACAATGTTAATGTTACACCTTAAGAGGGTATGATGTTTCTATAAGCTAAGCTAGTAGCACCTAGCACGTTAGCATTTGTCACTTAACAATAAATACAGCTGAGACTGATGTGATTGTCATTAGTTTTGCAAGTGTTTGTTCATAAACCAACCCACTGGACAGGCTTCAATAGGCTAGATGAAAGGGATCACTAAAGTCATTACAACTCATCCTGAAGGGAAACAAAATGATTTGTAAAACTCATGGTAATCCAATCATCAGCTGTTAAGACATTTCACTAAAACATGTGAATCTCAAGGTGAGGAAAAGCCAGAGGATCACCAAAGTCATTGTGATTCACCCTTAAGGGACCATTATTGTCTAACCAAAATGTCAGAACAATCCAAAGAATGGTTGTTGAGATATTTCAGCATCACCAAAGTGCAGGAGGGATGTGAAGCTCAACAGGGACTCAGAGAATCTCCCGGGGAAGTCCTCCCGCTGAGCATCCTCTCACTGACTCATTGGCTGCTGTCATGGTGAATTACCTTGGAGCCCGTTGCCGTTGGTGCAGGAGGGCGGGGGGGAAGAGGAGGGCCGGACCACTGGAGCGAAAGCCGACTTCTGCTTAACGGCCGCCGACACCATGTTGGCCGGGGAGAAGGAGAAGATGCCAGAAGAGGAGGAGCAGTTGGAGGGGAGAGAGGTGGAGGAGGCCATAGTGGGACTGGATGGGACAACTGGGGGGGTGGTGATTATTTATTTTAGGGGAGAGGGGAGGAAAAAGGAGAAAGAGAGGAGGAGGGAGGTGGGATGAAGAAGAAAAGGGTGGATTAAGGATGAGGGTGAGAATAAAGGAAAGAGACAGATTATGGTTAGATTGAACATGATGATCCATTAAATTGTTTCATCAATCACATTCAACATGATACATGTTTTTTAAATGTTATGACAAAGATATTGAAATTAGTAGGGCAGGGTATCGCTACTAGATACCTAAGGTATGAACCAAATAAACCAGTACAAAATAGTATCGAAAGATTTCCCATCAAACGATACCTGCATTCAATCGTTTCCCAAAAGTGTATCTGTTTTTATGTTTCTTCTCACACTTCTAACAGACTGTGGTGAAGTCGAGCGAGGTTCAGTGCACCAACTTGAAAAAATATATCTCAATTACATGTTTATGGTACAAACAAAAATATAAATGAATAAAATGCATGAGAATTATTTCAGGACTCGTTGGGAATACAAGTGAAGAACATCATTTGGATGGGAAGGAGAGGTGGGAGCATTTGTATGCGTAAATTCACATGAAAGGTGTCGAATAACCAAGGAACAAAGGTTTTGATTGAAATACTTCTTCAACAGTTTTGGTATCACAGTAAGGTGATATCGGCACTGGGATTGGTAGTCAACAATACTCAGGTCTAGAAATTAGCTTTAGATATGCCTTTTTGGATTTTGGAGAAAATCATTTGTGGACAAAATAGACAGTTTGGGGCTGTTGCCATGTCCATAAAAAAATGGTTTTCAGACTTCGGTATGGAAGAACAAGACTGGCCTGCACAAGATCCTGAAATAAAACCATTTGGGATGAATTTAAACAACCAAAATGCTTCCCAGAAGACGTGGATGCTGTTACAGCAATATATTGAAGCCCATTGTTTAGGAATGAGATGTTTATAATTTGCATGTAAACGTGAAGGTCCCACTGAAGTGTTCTCTTCCAAAGTGAAATCCTCATTTCCCGGCATCATCACCAGTTAGAAACACATCACATCAACCCCCCCCCCCCCCCCTTCTTCTCCCTCTTTCTCTGCTTTCTGCAAAATGGAAAAGAGATGCAATTAACCAACAGAGAGAAAAGAGGTGTGGCTGTCAGATGAAAGGTAGCGAGGGAAGGAAAGAAGGAGGCGATGGACGGAGGACAAAATGGAGTTGATGATTGTTTTTGAAGACACAGAGACAGTAAGCCCCATGGGGAAATCTCCTCTCGGCAGATCTGAGACTTTCACTTCCTGTCCACAGACATGTGTAGGTACACGACGTAAGATCTGCATGCATGTATGCAGTGTTCAGCATCTGTAATTAAACTGGTAGCTCTGAAACTGAAGTAGCTTGGTGGCAGCTAAAAGTACTCTATATTAAGTAACTTCACAACTGTATGGATCAAGTTCCACCACAGTGAAGTAGCTAATGGCTTGTAAAACATTTGTTTCTCGCCAGGTTTAGTTTGTGACAGAGAGTTTGAGTATCCGAAAGAGGTGTTAATGCACGTGTGAACTTACTAGCATAAGGCGAGTTGGCTGCAGAGCCGTTGAGGAAAGTGGGCGATCCTCCCAGGTTGGTCATGCCGGTGTTGTTGGTGTAGCCGTTCATGGAGCTGGTGACAGAAGTGTAACTGGTCTGCTGAGGCGTGGAGCTGGGAACGTAACCGTGAGGAGACACACTACTGCTGCTGCGCACAAAACCTGCACAAAGAGTTAAGGAGAGGAAGAAGAACGTGTGGTGATTAGACAGTAAAGTGGCATAAACACAGATTACTCGTGTGGTTTCCTGGGTCTGGTATTTATCCGTTCCTGTTTTTTGATCTGGAAAGCACTGGCACCAGAATTTTAGTTTGCTTCTTTCACATTTCTACTTAAAAACACATGCATACAAACACATTTTCTGTTAGTCCTCTCTCATTACAACAGAATAGATAAGTGTTATCAGATCCTGTCAACACTTTTAACCCTTTAATGGGCATTTAAAATGGTGGAAAATGTATCGATTGCTATTTTCTACATTACACCCATAGCATAGTGTTATCACACCCATATCGCACATTAATAGACCCCTATTTTACACCATTATTACACCCGTATTACACCCATATTACTCTGTTATTACACCATATGTGACACCATTATTTCACCCATGTTGCACTGTTATTAGACACATATAATACCCATGTAACACCAATATTAGACTGTTATTAGGCCGATGTAACACTCATGTAAAAAGCAATATTCCACCCCTATCACACCCATATTACAGCAATATTAACCTACACTGTAATTACACTGTAATTAGACCAATTTTACACATGGACACAGCCTGTCAAATAAATGTATCCCCCAGGATACAGAAACCATTTAAGAGTTAAGTTCTCACCCTGATTACCCTGTGAGGGTTCAGCGACGTTGACGGACAGCTGCCCGGTGAAGGAGTTGACCCCCATCATGCCGCTGTGTGTGGAGCCGGAGAGCTGGCTGTGTCCTCGGGGAACGCTGTATAGAGCTTCTGCAATGTCCGCCGCACGCTTCAGGATGATCTCCTTCAGGAGCAGGAAAAGCACAAAGGAATGATTACCACAAACGTAGCGACTGAGATAACACTCATTCTATTTGTTGCATCTTTGTGGATGTGTTTGTGTGTGTGTTCATTACCTGGTTATTATGGGGTAAACCATAAAGGGCTTCTACCAGGTCAGCTGCTCTCTTTAAAATAACCTCCTGAGGGAGAGAGAAAAAGGAGGCCAGTTTAAATGCAGAAAACATCTGGAATGTAGCCTTCTTGGAAAAACATCAACATTCAGCAGTCAATAACATTTTTAGATCTATGTGAAGACATAAAAGAAGACGTACAATCAAAAAACACACGTGCAAACTTTCACCCTCCTTCCTCCTCCCAACACACCATCACACAACATCCACTTCACCATCTATTCATGATAAACAAATTGCTCCTCACACTTTTAAAGGTAGATTATCTGCTGTCAAGTCGAGTGCTTTTATGCATCTTATTTCTGTGTTTCTAAATGACAGGCATTTAGAATATACTCCAAAGTAAATCCAAAGTGCTCTGTAGGCTCTTCTGCTGTGCATTGCTGTTCACCACGGTGATACACTGTGAGGAGGTTTGGAGTGACAGTCATTCAATGGGCTTAAAAAAAAAAAGTATTTTAGCCTGTATTTGACTCTGAGGTCACACATTCTTATTCACGTTAATATGATACATTCTTGCTAAATGTGAAGTTTCAATATCCTCCTCTTCATCTTCCCCCGGTCCATTTTCACCTTTTCCTCCAACACTCCTTTCTTCCCGCTTTGCCTCCCTATAGGGAATTGTCTTTCTCATTTTCCCCACCCACTAAACCTTTTACAATTCTCTCTATTTCTCAGTCTCTTTATTGTTTCTCCTCTCTTCCTCACCCGCCCGCACTCTCCGTCTCCACCCCAGGGTCTAAGGTGTCTTGTTTAACCGTTAATGTGTTGTCGTTTCCACAGCGTGAGGCCGCCTGGCGACAGAGGGAAAATTACTCTGTGCTTCACAGTATTAACCCACACTCTGTTACACACACAGACACACACACACACACACACACACACACACACACACACACACACACACACACACACACACACACACACACACACACACACACACACACACACACATATATTTGGCTGTACTGCATGTGTGCTCCTTTGAATTTGCGCCTGGTAGAACATACTGCATCTCTATCAGTGTGTGTGTGTGTGTGTGTGTGTGTGTGTGTGTGTGTGTGTGTGTGTGTGTGATGATATGAGAGGTTACAGAACCAGTCAGCAGTTTTAGTGTGCCTGTCTATGGTGCTAAATTCAATCTTTTACACATTATTATGGCCAGGCTGGCTCTCAGTTAACCTCTGATTATTAGACTGGTGAGCTGAGCAGCTGAAAGACACACACACACACACAAACACACAAACACACACACACACACACACACACACCACACACACACACACACACACACACACACACACACACACACACACACACACACACACACACACACACACACACACACACACACACGCACGACCACACGTAGACCCCCACGCACACACGCACACACTCTGTGAAACCTGATCCTAAATGTTCGAGCGGTTCCAGTAAGGCAGTAGCTGATAAACGGGAAGGGAAGATGATCCTCTGGTAACATCATCATTATCAGGTCTGCAGGCTTCTGCTACTAAATCACTCAAAGCCTCTCACTGCTGAGATCGATGCACTTTGAATACTTTGCCTGTTTACGTCTTTTCATATTTAGACGCACAGCTACTCAAATCGCCTAATTAATCTCTCCTAGGTTGCGTCTTTAAATAAGAAAGCATTGTTCGTCGGATTACCTCTTGCTCAATTCAAATGAGTATTGCTTCCAGCTGCATTGTGTTTGTATGAATTTGAACGAGTGTTCATCCTGTGGGCATAATTTTTGTCTCGAAAAGATTGAAAAGTCTAAAATAATCCGGCTTTGATGTCCCGAGGGCCTCGACTTTTGTCAACAGGATCGCTCACAGCAACAATGAAAATACATCTAATAGCAGCTACAAAAACATTGAATTGGGGACTTAAAGGTCCCATGTCTACTGATCATAATTCCATTGTTGAGGTCTACTAGAATAGATTTCCTTTGTTCAATGTTCCAAAATCACATTGGTTTCTCATACAGCATCTCTGTATAGTATTCACTCTCTGTCCTAAACGGCTTGTTGGAGCTCCTGCCCCCCCCCCCCCTCTCTGTGAGCCCAATGTGCTCTGATTGGTCAGCTCGCCCACTCTGTTCTGATGAGTCCACCACCGTTACAGCGGAACATCAGTGATTATGTGTTACAGTGGTGTTAGCAACCAGAAAATGACACCAGTAATGACAAACAGATGAGAATACTGCGTGGGGTCTGGGTGCCGTGTTGGCTAG